GCAGAGTGATTTTGATGTAGGAGATCTCAAATTTGGCCTAGATGTATGGACTTTCTGCTCCAAAGTCATCTTTGCTTTCCACTCTCAGAGTAGTGCTCCAACTATGGCATGCCTCTCAATCACCTGGAGAGCTTGCTAAAACAACCTCAACTTCCTGATTCCGTAGGTTTGGTCTGGGGCCTGCAAATTTGCATTTCTAATAAGTTCCCAGTTGATGATGCTGATACTGCTGACCCAGTGATCACAATTTGGGAATCAATCTCTAACATAAGATTTATCACTCAATGCCATATCCTCTATTTATGTGTCTAACTCTCCTTCAGATGGGAGGTCCTGGAACAGGAACATCTTGCTTGTTTTTGTATTCTCAGGTTCTAACTCATTGTTTGTTCCTGAATAAAGTTATGTTGAATAAATGACTTAAAAGAAAAACATGCAATGAATGATAATAAATTCAATATTACATTTCATGATTTTTCAAATTCTGATTTTTTTTCTTTTGGTTTCTCTTGAAAAGAGCAGGATCTGGTAGCAGCAGTCCCAGAGTCCTCCACAGGAACAACTGGCTGACACTGAGTAGTGTCCACCCTTATACCACAGCTGCCACAATCCTTTTCTCATTACAGCTACCTAGCCCCCCAGCGTATCGGCATTTGCACCCCAGATCAAATCCATGATGCCTTTCTGAACCCCTAAGGGGCTGGATCTTTGAAACTAAAAAGCGAAGAACAATCTTCTGATTCTTCTGTCACGTTCTTTTCCTGAGATATTAGTACGAAAAGACTTGGCGGTTTGAATAAAGGGCTGGGCAGTCAGGGAAAGGAAATTGCAGAAGGAAAGATGGTTAATGTCTTGGAATACTACCTCATCACTAGGTATAAAGTGTTGTGGTAGCCAGATGAGCAAGTGGCCGAAGCCATGGGTCCAGGGAGGAGATCAGTGGGCATTGGTTAGAGGAGAACAAGGGAAAAGGAAAAGCAGGAGTGTCCAGGCTGGGCCCTGGAACATTAGGGAGCACTTCTGTTGACTGTTTACTCTTTGCCAGGCATTGGAATAACTATTTGATGTGCACTCTCTGATTTACTGACCAAGGGGAATAAGGATGGTAATCCCCACTTGACGGGTGAGAAGACTAAGGTTTGTAGGGTTTAAGAGATTTGCCAAGTGGAGTTGGAATTTGAATCCATACTTATCTGACCCCAGAGCCCACGCTTTTAACTACTTTATCATAACACAACACTGAAGGGATGGGGGTCAGGAGACATCAAGCAGAGAAAAACAGCCTGAGCAGAGGCCTGGAGGCTTTAGAGTCAAGTGTGGTTCTCTGACAGGACTTGCTGAGGAAAGTGTCTATAGATGACACTAGAAAGAGCCACTGAGGCCAGACTATTATGGTCCTTTATATCATGTTAAAGAGATTAGACTGTATTCTGAGAGGCTTCAACTTGAAGATACTAGAAACAAAGGGGAAAAAAGATGATCCTCTCTTCTTCAAAACCTTGGTGCATTCAGACTGTGAAAAAATATGTGGCCCTGATTTCTACACCTGAATAAATTCATAGCAGAACTAGAGAGCAGAACAATGTTGGAGAAAGAATAAGGGCTCTTCAGTCTGAAAAGGCAAGGGCAAAGGGCAGTCCTTGAAGTCTGTCACTTCACATACAGAGAGGTGAGGAGAAGCAGGGACAGAAGCCTCTACTGTAATCAGAGAACATTCTGCACTTTGAGCAAGACTGGATGGTCCAAAAACCTCCAGCTGCCTGCCGGGCCCACAGGCCTTTCTCTGAAAATCCTTGCTTTGTGTCATGGTACCTTATCAACCTGTCAAACAGATAGGGCCAGCAACCTGCTAAAGACAACCATGTAAAGGAGCCCAAGTGGCTTGTCATGAGACCCTTGCCCAAGGCAGAAGAGTCGGGGAGGGGTTGTCCATACTGACTAGTGGCAAGTAGACCCAATCATATTCTCTTTCCGGGGAAGTTTTCAATTAAGACACACCAAAAGGGAGGGAAACAAAAACAGACAATTAAATCCCAAGTCAGCATTTGGTAGCACTGGGACAGCAAAAAATGTTACTGATTGGATGGCCTAAGGAAACCAATATAGCAAGTAGTTAACAGCACATGTTCCAGGGTTGGCTCTTTGGGTTCAAATTCACTTACCAGCTCTGTGACCTTGGACAACTTCATTAACCTCTCTGAGTCTCATTTTGCACATATGGAACTAATGACAGAGCCTGCCTTGCAGCGTGTTGTGCCGTTACATGAGATCATTTATATAAAGTGCTTAGGGTAGTCCTTGTCATATGGTAAATGCTCAGTGGCTATTATTATTTTACTATATTCTGAAAGGAAAAAAATTATATTCAGGTTCTCTCCCACTCCTGCAAGTGCAGCTGCTGGGACAGATTCTTGGGTTTCCTTTCTTCTTAAAGCCTTACAGGAAATACCTAGATCCCTTTCTCTTGAAAATTGAAAGAGGCTAGCACACTGAGCTTCGACATAAAAAGATAAAGCTTCACTTCAAAAATAGTTGGTAAAACAAATGTACTTTCTAAAAGGTTAGATTAAATCATGGAGGATAAAGTCATACATGATTACTAAACGAAATTAGAACAGGTTGGGTTGTGTCACTATCCTTGGAAGTCAACATTAAGGACAATAACTGCAGCCTTCTACGTACCCTTGAGTTTCTCTGCCAATGACAATACGGGGCTTAATGAACCATGGTTCTGATGACATTTGACAATTTTTGGTCTTATGTACTTAAGTACTCAATCATCATATCTCACCATACTAAAACCTCTTGAAGCTTGAAAGAGGTTTAGGACTAATAAATTAGTTATTGTAATGTATTCTGGCCACATTATGCTTTAGAGTTTGCAGACAATTTCAAATACATTATCTCATTTGATTCTCACAATAGCTCTGTGAGGCAGGCAGGTAGGGGAGGAAATGGATATTCAGGGAGATGAAAAGACTGGCTTGAGGTCATATAGCTATTAAGTAGAAGTGAATTCAAACTCAGGTCTTACGAGTCTCAGTCCCATGCTACTTATACTGAATAATGAGTGGAAAATGTTGGTATTTAACATGTCCAGAGGTAGAATAGGCTGAATTTTAGTTTCAAGAAGGATTCAAGTGAAAAAAATATACGTTGCACAACAAGGTGGAACGCCCCATGCCCAGGGCATACTTTGCCAATCAGCCACAGAATTCTTCACTGCTTATCCTGGATTTGGCTTCAAAATCCTCTCAACACAGTGCTCTGGGGAGCTACCACTAAAAGATCAGAGCAGACACATGATTTTAAACTCATTTTCAGGAAAAGAGGATTCATAGGACTTATTCAAGGAAACTGGAGGGATTTGAGGTAGAGAATGCTGATGCTTACCAATACCAATACCCAGTACCTGTGCCAGCCTCCTTCTCCTCAGCACATTTTTCTGACTCCCTTGCAGTGAGAGGGGGCCATGTGATTGAGGTCTGGCCAATGCACCATGACTGGAAGTAGACAATCCTTTTCTTTCTCTATCTTCTGAGAGATTAATGAGACTGAAGATCTAGGGAACTGCTGAGTTACAAGATAGATGGAATTTGAGTCCCTGAGTGGCTGAATGGAGTAGAGCCTCCTGCCACACACACCAACCTACCCTACACTTTGAACTACAGTTGAGAAATAAGGCCATATACTGAGGCCACGGTGACCTGGGAGCTATCTGTTCATCTACACACACAAATAAACATTGACTTCATTGACTTTGCCCTTCCTGGAATCGCCTGTTGGTGTCATTCTCAGAAGTGACACTGGACTGAATGGTCTCACACATTTCTCCCATTCAAATTTTAAAGACCTCATCAATGTACATGATAGTAGATTTGTTTTGCTCTTTCTGCTCCTCAGCGTGCCCTTCCTATTTGGGAGAAATCTCTGGTTGGGTGACCTTGGTGGATCCAGGGGAGTCTAAGAGTCAGCTACTCTCTCATTCCATCTCCTGCAAGTGAGAGCGTGGAGCCCTTGACAGAGATTCTTCTGAATGAATGTTGATATCCAGGACTTTAAGTATTCAGCAAATGAGGCAAAGCAGCAAGGACAGTTGAGAAATCAACCTCTGAAGCCACCGCACTGAATCCAGCTTGGCTGGAGTCTTGCCACTTGCATTGCCTTGATTTCTATCCATTTTCCAAGACTAACTCCCCAGATTAAATAGATTCTGTAAGACACTTAATACCTCCCCAATAAACGGTCTCCCTGCTTCTGTTAGCCAGAGTCCATTTCTACTGCTTGTGCCTTGGGTTCCTGTGTGAGTGCATGTATGCACATGCACACAACATAGAATATTCTAGCAATAGCAAGTGGCCTTTGCCAGGACAATCTTTCCAAAACACAAATTGTTTGTGACCTTCTCCTATTTCAAAAGATTTGATGACTCTTTCTTTCTTTCAGGACAAACCCCACATATTTGAGCAAGACCTTCCCGAAGCCTTTTACCTTTCTGTACCCCTCTTACCACTTTCACTCTTCTGTCGGCTGGTCCCTGGGCCCACCATTTCTCCACACCACTGCACTCACTGTGCACTTGACCTGTGCCTTTCCCTTTCTTGGCCTCTTGGTAAGTTCCTGCCTATCTTTCATTTTAGCTCAAGGATGATCTATCTCCACGAAACAGAGTCACGCAATTTTTCCTCACACTGTGTATATTAATTTGTTTTATAGCTCAAATTGTACTTTATTATAACTGTTCACAAGTTCATCCTTCCTATTAGGTTATAAACTTCTTCAGGACAGTGTCTGCTAGTCATCTATGCATCACAACACCTAGGATACTTTGTAGCACATAGTAGACACTGAATAGGTATTTGTTGACTGAATGAATGAACGTGACCTGATGTCTGTGAGGCTCTGACAATCAGCAGAAGAGTCCTAGAACAACTGCAGTAAAGACTGCAATACTCTAGCCCTCAGCTACCCAAGGTGGTTTAGAAAACAGAGACACCAGCTATCTTGAAATAATTTTTAATGTTTTAAAATTTAACTAGTGTACACAATACATGTCTTAGCAGGAAAGAATGAAAATATGTGTATGGTGTGTAATAAAATTGACCTTACAAAATAAGACCATGTTAAGAAAATTCTCAAAAGCAGAAGTAAACACTTAAGTATAAACCAAATAAACAACATGCTAAGGGATATGATTTTAAAATGCTAATGAATGTAGTTACCTAAAGCCAGACTTGAGACATTGAGATTTACTTTGACACTTAAAAAAAAAAAGAATGCCCTTAATTTTAAATTCATTTTTTTAAAAAACGTTTGCACATTGTTTTCCTGCTGGCAACTGCAGTAAAATCAAGTATATAAGAATACCAGCTGGATTCCAATCTGAAAATAAATAAGTGCACCACCTGGTCTCACTGTTAAGTACACAGTTCACCTCAGAAAGCAACAGAAAGTCACGCTACACATTACCTTTCTATGTCAGACCCTCCCTGCCGTGCAGGCCCCAAAGTGAACACAGCCGAAAACGACTTCAACTTAAGATACAATGAAAACAAAAAATCTACAGCACCATATGGTTTCTAAGATAGGAAAACAGGAGCAGAATGGAAATATAGAAAGAAAGAAAACATGGGTAAGACCAATGACGTGCTCTTCAGTAAAATTCCACTTACGTACAACCACTTAAATGGATAGAACGGCTAATTTATGCATTGGTCATTGTGAGAAAAAAACATTGACTTTCAAGTTTTCCTCCAATTTTGACAGATGCCTCCAAAATGTAAAAATTGTAGATAATTTATTCACATAATCATCTCCTAGAACTTTATCGAATAATTAATGGTGGAGGTCATAGTGAGGAAGAAAAGAGTACTATTTCTTACTTTCTTCCCACTCTTCCCCACCAAATTACTAAGGTTCAACACTCCTCAGAAAACTACACAATTAAAATGTGTTTTATGCAAGTAAAGTCTCTCCAGACTGAGTCTGCCCAAATGGTAGTGTTTCCCTTAACACTTCAGAGGCAGTATGTAATTCCAGGACAAGCAGCTCTCTCTAGAATCCTGACAACTAGTGCCAGCTTGGCAAAGTCTGATTTAATGCATAAGAAAATGACAAATGATGATGATACTTAGAAAAGTATCCTTGTCATAGTAGGGTAAGAATTTAAACAGCAGAGAAGGCATTTGCTAGTACGTTATATGATTTAAAAATCCAAAGTTAAACTGTTTCTTTTCCAGATCTGAATTTCACTGAGAATGGAGATCTCGTTTTATCAACTTCTCTTCTTCTTCTTAAAAGTAAACCAATTCAAACCACTCCTGCCTTATGTAAAAATATTAAAATCTTATATAAACCTTACCAATGGCCTGAGAAATGCAAGGACATTCATGAAGAGATGTGTGCAAAATGGCTTCTCTCAGAGAGCAGGATAATTTGCAAGAAGAATCCACCCTCTAGAATAAAATTTTAGAAGGGATTTGTTTCTGTTTTCACTAAACGAACAAGGGATGTTTTATCTAAAATTCGTACATAGCTTTAAACTGTATTTAATACATTTAAATTCTAAAAAATACTGACAATTGATATTACAAAATGTGACTTATACATCTGCAGAATTTGAGGACCTACTGTGTAAATTGCTATTACACATTAATAAAATTTAATTGTACATTTCAAATACAATTATCTTTACTTAACATCATTTATTCAGAACATCAGTCCCCTTGGTTATTTTCACAAATTTCAACCCTTAAGAAGCTGTACCAAAATTTAAAAACCATTAGATTTGATAGTGACAAGTGAGAAAATAAAACTCCTTAAGGGTTGAATGAATAAGCCAAATATAAACGTTTAAGAAAACATTTACAAGTATCATACAGGCAATATAATTACAAATTGCATTCTGTTCATTAAAAACATCTCTTTTGAATTTGAAAAGGGTGCACACAGTCTATATGATGTGCATGTCTCCTGCAGTGCTAATGTTACTGGATTACACAGGTTCAGGCTAACATTGCACCCTGGACAGGACTGAGAATGTGCCGCATGTGTAATGCCATCGATGGAAACAGACTTGGTACCTAACTGCTGGGTTTTTCAATCTCTTATCCAATGTCAGTTCCTCTTTAATTTGTAGAAGATGAAGCTTCCGCCTTCCCTAGGGCTTCCACTCCAAAGAGCAGCTTTCGAAGTATATTCGCATAAAATGGTCCATACACTTGTTTGTTGAGATTCACAATGTTTGCATATTGACAGCCTAGCACTTCCAGCTCCTGCTGAATGACAGTAAGGCCTCCTGGCACAGGAGGCATGCATTTTTGAGGGCTTGGCAGACAAAGTAGGCTTTTCATGTACAGCTGGATTCGTTTTTCTGGGGAAAAAGAAGAAATCTTTATCCATCCCATTATTAAAGCATATAATTTTAAAAAATGAGAACAGTAATTGTGGAAGATGGATTGCAATAGCATTCTAAATTCTTTACCCATCCCTATACCCATGCCCTTTACATGGTAGCCTTGCAGCACTTCCCATCAAAGACTGGTGTCTGTTTCCCCCTGCCTTGAATTGGGGATGGCCTTACAACTTCCTTCGGCCAATGCAGAATGCAGCAGAGGTGCTGGTGTGCTAGTTCCATGCTCATGAGGCACAGTTTGAATCTGCTCGCTCTGCCTACCACCACCATGTGAACTAGCCTAAGCCTGATGAAAGGCCACATCGAGGGAAACCCAGCTGTTCTATCTGAGGCCATTCTAGACCAACCTGTAGCCAGTCAACTCCCACACACTTGAGAGAGTCCAGGCAAGATCAGCAGAACTCCCTACTCACGTCACAGCTGACCACAAATGCATGTGTAAGTTCAGTAAGACCAAATGAGCTACCCAGTTGCCCCATGGATGTGTGAGTAATGATAGATGGAGTTTTAGGGTGATTTGTTATGCAGCAAGAGCTAACTAATACAACAGGTATAGCACTTTCGGAGGGCTGGGGACTCTTACAAAAACTCAATGTCCATAATTTTAGTTATGTATACTAAAGCTGAGTCTGTAAGCTGGCAACGCCAGTTTGGCCCATACAGTGTTTTGAAAAAATAGAAACTTGGGGGCCCAAATTGCCCCATGGCAAGGGTGAGCACACATCTGGGTTTTCCCAGGACAGTCAAAGTTCATACCTGTTGTCCTAGCCTAATTAAAAAGAGTACTCTCAAAAGTGTCCTGGGTTGGACAATAAATGATACGGTCAACACACCCCCATGTGGCCAACAATCTGGAGGCACTGAGGAAGGGCCACCCCAACGGAGAATGCAACCTTCTCTATTCTTCCTGCTTCATTGTTTCAGTGTATCTGCATTTGAGACTATTTCCCAAAAGCATGCAAGTGCATAAATAAGGTAAGCTGCAGGTATTGGACAAATAGTACTGGACAAGCCAGACCTGCTCAGCCCATGCTGCTTCAGGGATGTTCTCTGGCTTTGGAAACAGAAATCTCTCAAATAAGAAAGTTTACTAAGGAGAACACACTCCATCAAATATGGACAACTATGATATTTGTCAAACTCTTACCTCCAAATACTCCCCAAAATCACACGTTCCAGGCAGACCTGACCTAGAACTCAGAGCCCCAGTGTCCCATGTCCATAACTTAGCCCAAATTATTTTCACTTACTAGAATGCCCTTCCATCTCACCTCATCTCCTTCAGTGTGGATGCTAAACTCACCTCCTTTCTGTGGCTCTCCCTAGCATCTGTTAGACTATCACCCCACATTACTGTTGCTTGAGAATTTCTCTCTTTCCCATCTTAGATAGGGGGCTCCCCGAGGTGAGGGGTATTTTTTTTTTAATCTTTAAAATGGTCTGGCATGTGGCTGGCACATGGTAAATGCTGATGGAAGTGGGAAGGGAATGAAAAAGGTCTCTAAAGACAAACCCCAAACTGAAAACAATGGGAGCCAGGGAGGAATGGGGGCTGGAGAAGGTAGTCAAAGATAATCTGGACTTTATCCAAAATTTGTCAACAAGAGGAAATTATTCATGGATGTATCACTTGTTCAATTGAAAATTACTTTTTAAAAACGTAGGTGGCTATCAGCCTCCAAATAATTTACACAGCAGGTAATCCATAAATAATTTTTACCTGGTGTTGGTATACATTTGAAAAAAATTGGTTTGAAAGAAAACTCCCTTTCTAATTATCTTTTTAAAAGGCTAGGAACACAGTGGGAGTTGTAACGCCACCGTAAATAAATAGCACATCAACTAAGAACAAAAGAAGGCAGACTATGGGTACCATGAATAACAGGGGAGAAAAGCCAGGGCTAAGCTGGAGTCCTTCTCCCCCAGGGATCCCTCTAAATGCTTCATGTATTCAAACTCCTCCACAGGCAAAGAATTAAGAGCAAACTGTCTACTAAATTTCCCTTTAGGCTGATTTCTTGACTCTCAGGGGCCCAGGTCTATTTTCATCATAGATGTTGCCCAAAAACATTTCCGCAAGACTGTTTAAAGAATGAAACTCTTTCACAACTGTTATTATGCTGACAAGTGGTTCTGTCTCCTCTGTGGACGAGTCAGTTTCTAGGCCAAGACTAAAGTGACAGAAGCGTCTGTCCATTTAGGAACAGCCAAACCCAGCCCCTGCCAAAGACATGCCCTTGGCTTCCAGAGCCCAGCAAGAGATGCTCAAGCGAGTCATTCAAGTTGCTAGGCAACAATACTTTGAATGAGGTTAAAAAATAGTTTCAATTTGCAAAAGAACAGGAAACTTGGACTGGGGAGAGCTGGGTGGAAAAAAGTTGCTTGACCAGATTTTAAGAGGCCACCTAGGGTGGGGCATCTCCTGACCCCCACCTTCCCTCTCCCTTCTGACACTGCAAGCACTTCTCTGATCTACAGCAAAGGCACAGAGGACACCCAGATGCTCTGGCCACCCTGCCAACAAGCAGCAGGGCTCCAGCTCTAACAGCAGTGCCCATGAGAGCAGTTAAGAATATCAGTCAGACAGGCTCGAGAAGAATCCCTACTCTGCAAACTGCTAGTTATGTGATCTCGGGTGAGATCTACTTAACTGCTCTAAGTCTCTGATGCATTCACCCATTCCACAAATATTTTTGAAAGGTCTTCTCTGGGCTCAGCATGGTATGGGGAACTAGCAGTGAACAAATATGCACACTGTCCTCCTGAGGCCTGTGCACTAGTAGGGGTCTCTGGATATGTGGCAGAGACTGCAGACAGTCTGCCCCTCTTCCTCCGAGGAATACAATCTCCCAGGCATTAGTTGTACAGCTGGAGACTACCGGCTATGAGAAGAGGTGCATGGCAGCAGGGAAGGTCATGCAGGGAAGGGCTCAGCCACGGACAGCTGCGGTTCCACTGTGTGTGTTACTGTTATCACCTGTCACCTCTTAGCAGCCCACGTGCTGCATGCCAGACAGCTCTTTTCTGGGGAAGGGCTGAAGTCTTGAGCTATTAGGTGGCCTGGGTGGCCTAGATTGCCAGCATCCCATGTCCTCAGGGATAAGAATGAAAGAAATTATTTGAGAGCCTCAACTAAATAAGTATTTGGATTTTTAGAGAAGTCGGTGCTGTACTTTGAAAACTTGCAGGTTAGTCCTGGTATGTCAGTACATTCTAATTCCACACTCTCTTCCTCCTTCTGGTCCATTCCTCACCCTCTGTAGTGGACACTTTGTGTCCCACACCACACTCTCCCCCTTCTCATGGCCACGGCATCCTGATTTTGTTTAGGGGAAATGATCTCTTCCCTAGTTTTAGACCAGGTATTACAGGTAAAGCTGATTCACCTTGGCTCTGGGAACTGGTTTGGGTTTAAGTTCCTTCTGCTCTGGCCACCATGACAGAGTCAAGAATGGGACATGACCACCAACTGGAGCCAAAAGAGACTCAATTCTGTGGTCACTGTTAGAGCTATGAGGAGAGGGAAGCTGACTACCCCCTTTTTTTTTTTTGGCTTGACTTAAACATGGAAAGATGTAGGCTGGAGCTGAAGTCATCTCGCTATGTTGGGAAGGGACTATCTGTGGAGAAAGCCAGCCCAGAGGAAGGCAGTACTGAGGGACCAAAGTGAGGAAACTGTACTGGGGACACGGTCTGAACTCTGACTAAGCTGTACCAGCAGCCAACCCCACCCTGCTCTCTTCTGTGACATGAGCAAATGCACTCCCTTTTTGCTTAAGTTACTTTAGAAGTTTAGGTTCTCTGTCACGGGTAAAAGAAAAAGTCCTAACTGATCCATTCTCCATTCTCCCAACTCACCAACACAATTTGACCGTGAGATACTTTCTTAGCAATCAAGTGCAAGAAAAGCCCACCTACTATGCCTCTCAGTTAAATGGCCTTTCCACTCTTCGTCCCTTCAAGTCCAGCCAAGAAAGGGGCCTGGGCCCACAAAGGTTAGCTCACAGCAGAGTCCATATGGACTTACTGTGAACACACTGCCAGCTGCTTTGGATTGTTGTGCTGATCTAGTGATTTAACATTACTGGCTGCATTATATTACTTTCTTCATGAAAACCTGTTGGCTGGGTAGTAAGACAGAGGGCTCTGAAACATCCCCCCACCCTACTCTGCTACATATACACACAGAAGCAGCAGTGAGTCCCAAACCTTTGCATATTCCTACTTTCTTCATATTTTCAAATACTCTTATTCACCAAAAGAGCAGGTAATCTGAGACTAAAATTTGAGGGACATAAGTCAAAGCCAGCAAGGTAAAGCAAATTGAAATGGAAGCAGAAAAGCCAATAAAAACATGAGGACCCACCAATCAAGGACCAGATAGGATTGTCCTCCTCTTCGATGCTTGAGAATTGACCTATAAGATTAGCTTGAACCTCAGCATTTAAAGCAGGTAAACCTCTCTCCATCAGGGTCTTATTAACCTCAACACAAGTCTGAACACCGATAGAATTCAGGACTTCCTTCAAGTTACAGGTCCTACAAAATATGAAACAAAATCCCATCAGGGATAGTTATTATTCAGCAGGTTTTTTTGTCTTTTTAAAAATATATCAACTTGTTTCAAATGTCTACTAATTTTCTCTTATACAGCTAAGAATTACCTCTACCAGAACAACCTTAGAAAATAGCAATTCCTCCCAACCACAAACCTTTATATGCAGCAGAATTTTAAATGCTTGAAACCACTCAATTCTGTAGGTAGTGTTTAAATAGGAAAATGTGGTCCCTGAAAATAAGTCTGCAACCCCCTTTTTAGGCAGAGCTATCAAAAGAGGAAAGACAATACCTATTTACTTCTTAAAATAAACCCTTTGGTCTGAGTGGGTTCATTCATAGATTTTTTTTTTCAATTTTCTTGGAAAATGAGGTAGAATCAATTCCTTTACCCATGCCTGAGCGGTAAATCTCTAACAGCAACCAAAAACAAGAAATGGATCTCTTCAGAGGTCAATACCATAAAGACAAATTACCTAAAACTCTTGACCTATCATAATCATAAATAAGAAGCTCCTTCCCATTGTTACTTTCTTTTTTTTTCTTTTTTTTTCCATTGTTACTTTCAAGTTAACTGATCAACCCTAAATATACAGAGTCTAGAAAATGTAGAAAGTAATTAGCAGTGGGTGATTTAATAGGTAAGGAGAAAGAGGCAATTAGAAATAGCATCTGTTGGGTCCATACTAGTGGAAATGATTGAAAATTGCATCTCACTATCCAGAAAGGGTCTTTAAGATAACTTTGTGCAAAATGGGAATTAAAGGGTAAGAGGAGTGGGGTGGAGGGGGAATTAAATAAAACAACAAAACAACCAGATAGGCAGAACAACTATAAAGAAGACGATTTAACAACTAAGTAGTTACTAAAAGTTAACATTTATCAAGTGCTTATCATGTGCCAGACACCTGTACTAATGTTTCACATGAGTCCTCTTAAGTTCCCACAGCTCCAGGGGAGGTATAATTATTATTCCTCTTTTATAATTTTGAAAGTGAGACTCAGAGTGATTTAGGATCTTGTTCAAGGGTACAATACAAGTGAGTATCATAGCCAGGATTTGGTCTGTCTGACCCAAAAGCCTGTCCTCTTAGTAACCACTTTGCTATGTGATTTATATTAATTCTTAAGCAGCATTGAGGGTTTGCTAAAGGCTTAATAAAAATTTCTGGAAAGTAATGGTTACTCAGTGTGGGAAAATGCTAAGATGACTGCAAAACCAGAGAGGCTTCTTTTCATTATAGGTCTTGGGTCCTGGAATGTGAACTAAAAGAGCCTGGCAGGTTAGCACCGAGTCAGTAGAAAGGGCAGGGCCTTGATGCAGTCAGGCCAGGGCTCAGGCCTTGGTTTGCCCTCTTCTTGGTGTGCAGCCCAAGGCAGAGCCTGTTCTCTCTCTGAGCTTTAGCTCAAAATGAGAACTTTGGATGCTGCAACCACTCAGGCTTCTTTTGGCTGTTAATATTCTAGGATTTTATCACATCAATTTATGTGCTCTTTGAGTAATGGGCAGGAGGGTGAGAGGATAGGTGTATCTCCCTTCAAAGAGAGGAATGAACAGGACAAGTCTCTGAAAACACCTACAAGGGGAACCATCAGGAAGAGCTGGCCTGTATGAGATCCATGAAAACACCTGGTCACTGAGTAAGATTAAGAATTTTCTGCCTTGGACAGCATTGCCAGTAGGATGGTTTGAATGCAAAACTGAAACAGGACCCTAGTATTCAACAGAGGTGTGATACTGGGAAATGAACTTGGCAAAAACACAACCTTCACTTGACTTGTATAACATCTCTGAAGGACAGAGATGTCACCACTTCTGAAGTCTTCAGAGGCTGGATCAGTGAAGCTGGTAAATATTTCATTGAAAAAAAAAAAAAAGATGGGGTCGGAACAATTGAGTAGGAAAGCCTCTCTGACAGGGCTTTCTAAACACTTAGCTTAGTGGATTTCTGGGTTTTGTTCGTTATTTTCCACAGCACCGTCAAAGAAGAGCTTTTGCACACACCCATCCTAAGTGGCAATACTATACTAACCCTGATACTTGTCACGGAAAAGACCTTTCCCTTACTATGCTGGGACATCTAAGCCTTCAGAGATATTAAAAGAAATTCTAGAAAAAGAAGGTATAAGCTAAGCTTCTCTAAAGCACAGTCCTGAATATCACATTCAGATGTCCAAGGTTATTCACATTCTCTGAAATACATACAGAGCCTTAATATGAGGCCGAGCAGATAAAAACACTGGGAACTTACTCTTTGTTCAGGCCCTCAAGTAGAACAGCTGAAATCCTTTTCAGCCTGACTGCAAGCTCAGGTAGGCCTTCTGTAATAGCTCCCACCATGTTGTTGGTAATTACAGACAGGCAGGCAATAATTTTCAACTGATTCAGCTTTTCTGTCAGTTCCTGAAGTCGTGTTCCATCTGTCATGAGTGTCTAGAATATTTATTTAAAACATAAAAAGAAAGGGAAATGCAATACCATGAACATGTAAAATAGCAATGTTACACCCAAATGCCCATTTTTATCTGATTTTAATGAAATCACTAAACCACATGCAACACAGACAGTCCAGCCGATTCACAGAATTTTAAAGAATTAGAATATCAGAAAACTTGAGGGAAGAAAAAAATCACAATCACTCACCTCTGGTAATTCTTTTTTCTGATAATCCCACTGTAACAATTTCAAATAACTGTTATTTAGCACCAGTGTAGGGCTCAGGCATGGCTTGGAGCTGTTTTCGGCCCCAGGTGTTAAAGTGGTCTCGGAAAGAGAAAGTAATTCTTCATTTACAGATTCTTGTATCCATTCTGTAGTTTGATCAAGAGCATCTACAAGTGAAAAGGCCACATATTTGTTCTACAGCTGAAAGATCCCTTATGTGTGCATCCTACACGATGGACACATCTTAGGTTCTGGGCATAAATGACAAGTCAGCCACGCCCCTCAAAGAGCGTATAGTCAGATGGGCAGGCAGACACGTAAGCTAACAATTACAGCAGAATGAATACAGTGAATACTAGAAGGTACAAGTGGGAGTGCAGTGAGCAGAGGCTTCCAGGGCAGAGTCTAAGAGGAAGAACTCCATGAGTGATACTTGATGATACAAGGCAGACAGAGAAAAGGGCTGTCACTCCAGGCCAGGAGAATAGCCCACACAAAGCCCTGGAATAGTGAGAGAATTGGCACATTCTGGATGCTACAAGGAAATCTGTACTGCTGGCCCATCAAGAACTAAGGGAGAGAGAGGTAGCAGATGGCACCAGATGGGTAGACAGGCCAGCTCACGCACACCTTGAGTTTCATGCAGAGAAGTTATTTAAAGGCATTGACTATTAAACATTTTTGATTTGGGGACTCCTCTGAGTGATGAGAATTATGCCTTCCCCAAAATGCACGTGCACACTGGTATTCACACCTTGTTTTACTTTAGACCCAGTTCTGAGGTTTTCACATAGAAACAAATCTCTTTTTATACCATATTTCTTATAAAATCATGTATCTGGTAGAATTTATAAGGTGGTAATTGCTTTAAAAAATGCAGACTGAACACAGGTGTAGATTAAAAAAAAAAAAGAAGAACTGGAGAGCAAAATAAAGAATAGTCACCCTGAAATTCTTCCTCAGACCTAGCACTTAAACAGGGGAACTTGTGAGCAGCTCTGTTTGCCACACTAAAGCAACACCACCCCCAGAATTTCACAACTTTGTATCTCCTCAGTTGGCAAATGTTGTTCTTGGTTTTCCCAGCTCTGTTTCTAAAGATGTAAAAGACTTGCAGTCTTTTATTTAAAAGATATCCAACAGTGAAAGAGAGAGTGGAAACCATCATGGATATAATTACAATGTGGCAGTAATAAGCATTTATACTGCAGGTTTAATCATTTACAGTTGACACATTTAAAAGCCCATTTAGTTATCTCAAACAAAAGCAACAGTACAGCATAGAGATTCTCAATCCCGGCTGAATGTAGAATCACCTGGGGAGCTTTAAAAAGAAAAAGAAACAACAACAACAACAACAACAACAAACTTGGGCACCAGCTCTTGGAGACTTAGATTTAATCAGTCTGAAATCGGTGTTTAAACGCCCCAGGTGATCCTAATATGTAGCCAGCACTGAGTAGGACTGGTAAAGTAGAAAGAGCACAAGTTTAGAGGGAAACATGGGCTTTTCTCTAAGGGATCTGCTGAGATTTCATTCCTACAAGCTAGTACATTGACTGCTCTATGTGGCTCCAAAAGCAAGGTCAACCCCACAAGGCACTGGTACCCTTGTGTTTCATGGGGAAAAGAGCCTCTCTATTCGTTTCTTCAATGACAGCTGAGCACCTACTACATACCAGCTACTGTACCAAGTGTAGGGGATTCACAGATGAGTAAACATGGTCCCTGCACTCAGAAAACTTCTTATGTACCGGGAGAGAGAAATAGAAGAAAATGCAATGGCTTTACGTATGTATTTACCTAAGAATTTCCCAGAAGCAGTGGTGGCCCAAGAGAACTTCCCCACCAATACATGCTCTTGATTTCCTGCCAGGGAGGCTTGGCCTAACTCCCCAAAACTATCTCTGGTTCTCTAAATCCAAATCCTGCCAGGCAGGCTTTAGCGGTCCAGCCCAAATGCCTTTTCCTCTGGGAAGCCTTTCTTGATTGCATGGACCCAATCCTTGTATCTCCTTTCTTGAAGCACACCTGCCTTTGAATGTTTGATCTGGCTGTCATTTCTCTTGAACAGCTGACCTGAAAAACAACTTCTCTATTTCTTAAAAATTATCATTAAATATCTCATGTGTCTTTGATCTCATTAGCGATATGAAAAATAAGACTCTGAGAGTCCAATGCTACGACCTTTATTTTTTATTTCACTTTCTCTTAATTTAGCTCATAGCACAGCTTAAAAGGTGTGTGAAAAATCTGGTTCAGTCTTGGCAGACCCATTTGCTTTGGAAACCAATCAAATGTTTTCCAGTGTTACTTCTCACTTAGTAGGTTCTCAAAAAGCCTCACTCTCTGTATATGGCATGAGAGATCTGGTAGGTTTCCAAGTTAATTCACCATTTCTGGAGGTAACTATAGGTGTAACAATCGAAATAGTCTCCTTTAGACTGACAAACTGATTTGGTCCTATATGTCTGAAGATATCTCTGTTGCAACTGTCACCCAGTAAAACGTTTACTAATATACACAGCACATGCTAATCAAACTAAAAGACACAGAGTGTTTTTTTGCAAATTCTTTCAGAAAGCAGAGGAGGGAACACTTCCAATTCATCTTATGAGGCCCGATACCAAAATCAGGCAAAGGCATTATAAGAAAAAAAATTACAGGACATCTTTCATACAGATGCAAAAATCCTTAAGGAAGCATTATAAAGGCAGTAAGATAAATATACGAGGGCCAAGCGGTGGGATAAACATCTCAGGATTGCAAGGGTAGTTTAACAATAGAAAAAAATGAATCACTGAAATTCCCTACATTAACACAATAAAGGAGAAGAAAAATATAACCACTTTAGTAGATACTAAAGCATGTGGATGAATTTAACATGTGACCTATTTAGATAAAAATTGTCAGCAAACTAGAAAAAGAAGAAAACTTCGTCAACCCCAAAAAAGGATAGCTATGAGAAGCTGCAGCTAACATCATACTTAATGGGCAAACAATAAACATTCTTCTCCTAAAAAGCAAGGATGCCCTCTCTCATGACTTCTATACAACATTTGATTGGAGGTCCTAGTCACTGCAATACAACAAGACAAAAAAATAAAAGGCACACAGATTGTTTTTTTAAATAAAAGAAGTAAAAAAACTGTTTTTTTGTTTGTTTGTGGTTTGTGTGTGTGTGCATGTGTGTTTTAATAGAGGTATTGGGGACTGAACCCAGGACTCTGTGCATGCTAAGCATGTGCTCTACCACTGAGCCACACCTTCTCCCCAGTAAAAGCTGTCTTTATTTACAGGTAACATGATCATATATACTACAGAAAAACCTAAGGAATACTCCAAAAAGCTACTGGAATTAATAAGTTAATTTAGCAAGGCCTCAGGATGCAAATTAATGCTCAAACATTAATTATATTTCTATATACTAGAAAATAAAAAATTTTTACAAAATAGCATTTATAATAACACCAGAAAAACATAAAATGATATTAAATTTAACTAAATAATTACAAGACCAGTACACCAAAACCAAAAAAAAAAAATTGCTGAAATAAATTAAAGAAGATTTAAAGAGGGATACTGAGTCCACAGATGAGTAGACTCAATATTATTAAATTGTCAATTCAACATAACTCCAATGACCATCCAAGACAGCTTTTTTTTTTTTTGCAGAAACTGGTAAGTTAATTAAAATGCATATGGGCATTCAAAAAACCTAAAATAGACAAAGCTTTTTTTGAAAAAGAATACAGTTGGAAGACTAGCACTATCTCACTTCAAGACTTAGCTTCAGTAATCAGGATAGTATGGTATTGGCTAAGAGTAGACATACAGATCAATGGAAAAGAAAAAAGAGTCCTATAAAAAGGAATGAAGTACTGATACTGATAATCGGTAAATCTTTAAAACATAATACTTAGTGGAAGAAGCCAGACACAAAAAGCCAGTTGTATGATTTCATTTATATGAAATGTCCAGAACTGTCACATCCATAGAGACAGAAAGTAGAACTGTGGCTGTCAAGGGCTAAGGGAAGGGAGGAATGGGGAGATACTGCCAATGAGTGTCGGGTTTCTTTTTGGGGTATGAAAATCTTATGGAATAAAGTATTGGTGATGGTTGCATAACTTTGTGAATATACTAAAAACCACTAGATTATACACTTTTAAAAATTAATTTTATGGGTATAAATTATCTCAATGAAAAAAAAAAGAATACAAAGTTCAGAAACAGACTCACAAGTGTATGGCCAATTGATTTTCAACAAAAATGCCAAAACAATTAGAAGGAGAAAAGGTAGCCTTTTTCAGCAAATAATGCCAAAATTGGACATACGTAGGAAAAAATTAGAACCTTGAAATGTATTCCCTTGAAATGGTTCATAAGCCTAAAACTATAAAATTTCTAGAAGAAAACATCCACAAAAATCTTCATGACCTTGGGATATGCAAAGATTTTGTAAACAATTCACTAAATGCACAAACCATAAAAGAAATATTTGATAATCTGGACCTCATCAAAATCAAAAACATCTCTTCACAGGATAGTATTAAGAGAATGAAAAATGAAAGCCACAGATGGGAAGAAAGTTGCACACACAAAAGTCTGACAAGGGACTTGCTTCCAGAATACATATTTCAAATCAATAAGATAATCCAATTTTAAAATGGGCAAAAGATTTGAATAGACACTTCACACAAGATAAATAAATGGCCATTCAGCACATAAAAAGATGCCAAACATCATTAGTCATCATGGAAATGTATATTAAAATCACATGAGATACTACTTTCACATCCTCTGTAAATATAGGGTAAAATTTAAAAGACTGATAATACCTTGTGTTGGTGAAAATGTAAAGCAATTGGAACTCTCATACATTGATAGTGAGTATAAAACAGCACAACTACATTGGAAAATAATTGGCCATTTCTTCTAAAATTAATCATATGTTTACCATATGACCCAGCCATTCCACTCCTAGGTGTTGACCCAAGAAAATGAAAACATATGCCCACACAAAGATTGGTACACAAATGTTCACAGCAGCTTTACTCATAGTCACCCCAAACCAGAAACAGATGTCCATCAACAAGTAAATGGATAAATGAAGTATGTAATCATACAATAGGATACTTTTCACTAATATAAACTATTGATACATATGAAAACATGGATGAATAGCAAAAACCTTATGTTGAATGAAAGAAGTTAGACAGAAAAGTGAACACAGTATGATTTCATTTAATATGAAGTTCAAGCAAAACTGATCTACAGCAATAAAAATTATATCCATGTTTACTTTGATCAGGGGAGACTGACAGCAAGGGGCATGAGGATTCTTTCCCAAGTGATAGAAATGCTTTGTATCTTATTTGTACTGCTGGTTACATGGGCATAGTATTTAGTCAAAATTCACAGAAGTATACACTTAGAGTAGGCGCATTTTACTGTATCTATAGCATACTTCAATAAAATTTAAAAAAGAAACTAAGTCCTTGAATCTAAGGCAAAAACCTAGTAAACTCAAGCTGAAGTCACATAAAGCTTTATCAACACAGAACACACACATAAATATTTATGTAAAAGCCACTGTGCTATTTAGTGCTACAAAAAGTTCAAAGAGTTCTGGGGAATGCCCTGTATAAGATGCCAGTTTGGTATGAGTTTAGTATTTGAGCTTTTCAAGATGAATGCATCAAGGGTATCCCTGTATGGATTCATCAAGGAATACGATTCCCATCTCTGCTGACTTCTAATATGGTACTTAAGCATGAAATCTGGTACCTAAGCATGAAACCTGAGTGATCCCCATCCTGGATTTGGGGGATGGCCAGGCTAGCTCTTAGAGTCTGTGTAATTCTGAATAGGCACCATTTAATAAACTAGAAGAGTGGTACAGAATATATGAATGGGAGCCCCTGAAGTTGTGCAAGGCTTTAGATGGCCCCTATTTTCAATATTCTGGAAAATATTCAAACGAAATACCCCAATTTTCAGTTAGAAGAATGCAGTTCCCTTATCCATGACATCTGCTCTTTTATGCCTAGCAACACCTCACCTTCCCTTTTTTTGGTACTGATTTTGAGAAGTCATTTTCCCTCACTCCATGCTTTCTTTTTATGAATATCATGACCAGGCAACCTCCAGGGGTTGGCTTAGCTGAGTCATATGCCCACCAGACTCTTTCCTGGGGCTCTGAATGGTGGCTACGGTGTTCAAGGACGGCCCATGTTGAAGTACACATTAACCATCCTGACAACAGAAGCAGGAACTTTCCCTTGTTTTTTCCTCCCTAGATTCTTGATGCCTTCCTGGTTTCTGGCTTTGCTCACACTCAGGTATTTTAGCTTTTCTATGAACTGGCCTCCTCCTTCTATGGCTTCTGGTACTTGCAATATAACACAAAATTGAAAAATCCAAAGAAAGAAACCAAAGCAGCAGTTTGGTTTAATCCTGGCTTGGTTGTGGGAGACCTGGCTTCCAGTCCCAGCTCTGCTACTAATCAGCTGTGCGGCTCTGTCTTCGGGCAGGTTGTTGCTGAGCACCAGTCTGCTCATCTCTAAAATGTTCCATCAGTATTTCCTGAATGCCCTGAGTGCCAGGCAAAGACAATCATAATGCAGTTTCATATATTTTTGAAAAATATTTATGTCCCACAGGATTTCTGAATCACAAAAGATGACGTTCCTGAGAACATTTTACCAGATATAAGACATTATCTAAATAAATAAAACCTTTTCTTTCTGAGTATCTGCAAAATGACTTGTGGCCTGGCCTCCAGGGGTAATGTGCCAATCTTTCCACAGATAATTTAGTTGTTGGATCTAATGTGGTTACTTGCTGACATTTAATACATGCACCCAATCACTGCCTAAGGCTTTCTTGGGTATATTTTAAATAGGGCAATTATATAAAATCTCTCTGTCAACAAAATACAATCCTTTTAGGAGTCAATTCAGAAACCCAGAGTACTTCTCTGTATTAATTTTCCAATAATTATTTATAAAAATCATGTACACACAAAAATTTAGCACTTTTGTCCCTCTGTGCAATACGGAGGCTCTTATTTTGATACAAGGGCACAGTGGCTGACTTCTGGCAGAGTGACTTGAGGATATAATTAACAGCTGACATACACTCTGCTTCCTGGACTCCTGATTTCTCTGGGAACATATTTAGAGCTCGGCAATAATGACCTACATGCACAGCTGGATTTATTCTATTCTTAAATCTCTGGAAATATCTAAGTCCATGTGAAAGGTGCAAATCATGAAGCCTGAGTTTTAAGGAGAGAAACAAATCACTTGAGATGAACAAAGCCATAATTTAACCTTATATTAAGAAATCTGCTTAAGATTACAAGCTAACTTGATTGAAGACATGGAGATATTTACATGTGTGCAAGTACACATATACATGCACAAAGATGAAACCAACCAAAGAGTCTCAGGAAAATACTGCTAAGAACACAGCTACTGTAGTTCAGATCCAGGTTCTAGGTAAGGTTCTATTTCCCATAATCCCTCTCTCTGCCTTTGGAGCTAAAACAATATAGCCCTGAAGTCAAAGAACTTTTGTTCAGAAGGATCCTTAGAAGTCATCTAGTCATATCTGCCACCTGATGCTAGAGCTCTCTCTGAAAATTCCCCCAAGATAACTGACATCTTGTTTGAAGAGAGGCAATATTGCATAGTGGTTGAATGCACATGCTTTAGGGCAGAGACCATGTCAGGCCCTGCCGGCATATACACTCACTCTCTAGATAGTCTCACCCAGTATAATACCGTGGGTAAGAGCAGGGACCGTGAGTCCCAGCTCTACGCTGTACGAGTTGTGCTGTGGAGCCAAGTGATTTAACCTCTCTGTGCCTCAGTTTCCTCATCCATAAAATGGAGAGTAATTTCCTTAAGTTTTTATAAAGATTAAATCAGTTGAAATATGTAAAGCGCTTAGCATGTGATAAGTATTCTATACAGTTAGCTACTATCCAGCTCCATGGCTTTTTCTACCAACAAACATACTGATAATTTCCGGATGTACATCCCCAGTTCCCACCATTCCCCTGAACTCTAGTCTCTTGTATCTCTCTACCTGCCTACTTGATCTTTTCATGTTGATGCCAATCAAGGTCTCAAAATTCACATATTTAAGACTGATCTCTGATTCTGTACCATCTCCCAACCTTCTTTCCCTAGTCTATCCCAACTACTAATGTGCATCACTATTCACCTAGCTGTTCGGGCAGAAACTCTGAGTCATCCTCAACTCCTCTTTTTCTCCTCATCCACATTTCAGTAAATCCTTTTATTCCACTTTCAAAATGCACCCCAAATCTGACCTCTTCTTATTCTTTGACACTACGACGTGGACCAGGCCACCATTTGCAATACCACCTAATCAGTACCCTTGTTACCCTCCTTGCTCCTGTACAATCTATTCTCTGCCCAGGAGCCAGAGCATACTTTAAAAAAGAAAATCAGATGTTGCTCCCCTGCTCAAAACTCTCCAATGACTTCCTATCACACTTGGAATGAAATCTGAATCCCTCTCATTTCCTAACAAGGCTGTATATGAGCCACTTACCTCTTATCTACCTCTCGTCTACCTCTCGGCTGCCTCCCCTACCACCCTTTCCTTGCCTACTCTACTCCAACCACACTGTCTGCCTTGGGTTGTCCAACTTCGCAAGCAAGCTTCTGCTTTAAGGCCCTTGTACTTGTAGCTCCCTCTGGCTGGAATGTTCTTGCCTCTTCACATGCCCCTTCCTCATTGGCCTGCAAACTCTGCTCAAATGTTGCTCCTTAGAGAGGCCTTCCCAGCCCACCTCATCTAAAAAACACCCACTACCCTCACTCCCGCTTCATTACTACTCTCTGTCCCTTTGTCCTGTTTGTCTTCGTAGCACTTAGTAACACATCTGACAATATATGTTTGTTTGTTATGCCTACTAGAATGTCAGTTCCTTGGGGGTCACAACTTTATTCTGTTTTGTTCCCTGGACTATCCACAGCACCTAAGCAGTGTCTGGGACACAGCAGATGCTCAATAAAAATTTTTTACTTCATGAAGGAGTAAATAGTGCTTAGCACAGTTCCTGGGTCAGAGTAAACAGCCCTAAGTTTGTGGTGTCAGTTACAGAAGTTAAAAAAAAATATTTAATGGAAATGCAAAAATCTTTAGTGATACTACTTAAGATGTCAAAAATTAAAATATCATATTTTCACCCAATTTTTATACACACACACACACACACACACACACACACTTATATTGTACTTACTTGGAGTTTCTTCTAAAATTTCTTGGAACTTGGTTCTCTCATAATCCACCAACTGGCGTTGAAGATATGGTCTCAGACTCCTAATTGTAAAATTGACCATATCCATTTTCATGAGGTCCAGGACATGAAATATCTGTCTAAAAATTTTAGAGTTAAAATAGAGAGGTGATTAAGAAATTAAGCTGAAATTCAGTTACTATTATCTATTTTACAGGCTGGAAAAGATAAACATCCCTAAAATGTTTCTGAGTTTCCAACTGCCATTGGCAAGGTCACTTTTCACAGAAGACAGTCCAAATATATTCTTCCACAGATCTCAACAGTATTTGCTTTAGAAACACAGTACCTCTGGCTAAGCCATTACATCCAGCCATAAACTGATAGAAAAACACTAAGCAGCATAAACAATGAGTCTTAACACTGAGACAAAAAAGATTCAAGAAGGAATTTTCATTTGAAAGTCCCTGAAATTTTAAGGAGTCTGAACATAGTGTATGTGATTTCTATTTCTAACAGAATAAGAAGGAAAAAAAGGAAATAAAAGAAAGAACAGGGCAGTGAAACACAGGGGAAAACCACTTCATTTTAGAGTTGGGCAGCCCTGGGCTTAAATGCAACTTTGCAACTGACCAGCTCTGGTCAGGCACAAATTACTCAATCTTTCTGAGCCTTAGTTTCCTCATCTATGAAAGAAAGGGACAAGATTAACCTTGGAGGAATGTTGTGAAAAGCCAATGAGATAATAAATATAAAATTCAGGCAAATAATATGTGACCAAGATGAACACCACAGATTTGGTATTACACACTGGTAATAAGATAACTCAAAGTAAGTATTTCACAAATGGAGAATCATAAACTGCCAGAGCTGATTCAATTCTAAGGATATAGCCCATTTTACAGATGGGGAAAGCGTGATTTCGAGAGGTTATCAACCTTCCCAAAGTAACAAAGTAAGTTACCCGCTATATGCAAACCAGTTTCCTTCCTCTACCTTTTCAATACTATTATATGAAATTTAATTTTCAATGTGACTATATTCACAAAAAAATAAAAAATAAAAAATAAAAGGGAGAAGAGTTCCCTTCCATGGCAGAAAGTATTGCAGAATCCTCTTTTCTCTGGGATCACAAAGAAGTTATTGTCTACACAGTCACATTAGAATCTCATGATTTATTGTACACCTCATTTCCTCAGGGGAGCTGTGGCAGAGATGGCTAGCTGATCACAAAAGGTCCGCACTCCCTATCTGCAGTGTGGATTTGTGGCTGGGCAATGTGTTTCCGGACAGCAAACAGTCTAGGTGGGATCATGAGACTAGGTATAGCCAATGGAATGTCACTTCTGGGCCAAGGTTGTTTATTAAGCACTGGGTATGCCTTCCCCATGATCTCTTTCCCATTCACCTGCTGAATGTAAAGGACTCCAAGGACCTGGGCAAGGGTGGAGTCAGGGAAGACAAGGAGCCTGGGTCCCTGAACAACTCATGAAAGGCTGCCTGACCAAGAATCCCTGACTCAGACTTTTATATGAGTGAGAAACAAACTGTTATTGGTTAAAGCACTGAGAATTCAGGGTTTACGTGTCATAGCAGCTAGCATTACTCTAACTAATAAAGACATCTTCCTGGATCCTTGACTAGATTAGGTCCCCTGATGGAGGCTCCATTCATCCCTTCATATTCCCCTTTGATAGCACTTCATCACAACTGTAATTCCTTGTTCAAGGGCTATCTCGCCATTAGACTATAAACTCTCTGGGGTCAGAGACTGTATCTGCCTTTTTCATCACTGCGTCCCTAGGGCCCAGCACATGCCAACTAACAACCATGTTAAGTCATTCTATGTGAGAACTCCATGTACACAATAAATGATTGATTTGCCCCTTGCTTATTATTCCTGTACTTCCAAAAAAATGCACTCACCTCAGCACCTCCACAACATTGCCAGTGGCCTTTAACGCTCTGATATCATCATCTCTCACAGGAGCACAAAGCTTTCCCATAGTACTGATGACATAGTTGGAAAGGCCTTGGATGTCGACAGTACTGTGTTCAGCCTGCTGCCTAATGAGGTCTGTGTCCAAAACTTCACAGATCTGGTTGCGTAGCCGGTTGCCACCAGGAGTCAGAAAAGAGAGAAGGATCTACACAGGGGAAGGAAAGAATCAATGACAGCATCATTAATGAATAAAGGTTATCACTTTCTATTTCAATGTCTAGATGACCAAGCGCCCTGTCCATATTTTAATACCCTGGATGCCACAAAAGTTTGCACAGGCTGTGTGGTGGATCAGAGGAGCACTCCAGTGTCCTGACTCTAAAAAAAAAAGCTCTATCTTCTGAATTAAAGCACCCCCTACCTGCCCCACCATGGGAACTTACAAAGGCTATCAGGATAAAAATAACTGGCAAAGAAGCAATATTATTGAAAGAAATTCAAAAAGTTTACAGGTAAACTATGCAAGGAAAGAACAAGTTGCAGATCATGGCTCCAAAGAACCCTTCGCAGAAGGGCAAACAGTAACACACCCATGGGCTCCAATAGTAAAATATATGATATTTAAATATATCATATATTATATAAGCAACTTATATTGAGTATTCACTACACAGCAGGCACTATACTTATATACACAGCATGTGGTTAGGAGCACAGGCTCTGAGCCTGAGAGCCAGGGTTCAAACCCCTCAAAGCTGTGTGACCCTGGATGAGTCAGGGAATTTCGTTTCTTTATATAAAATAATAACAGGCATAATTACCTCACAGCATTGTAAGGATAAATGAATAATCTAGTGCTTGGAATAGAGCAAGTGTCCTGTAAATGTTAGCTATAACTGTTATCTGATACAATTCTTACAACTACTCAGGAAACAGAGACTTAAAGGGAGACAGAGCCTGTCACTAAACCAGGTCTAGCTAACTCGAGAGTCTGTGCTCTGAAGCACCACAACCACTGCCCTACCTGCTAAGCATTGGCCTCCTGTTTTCCCAGCCTCCACCTGGCTCCAGAAGGTGCAGGAAAAAAAAACCCTTCCAGTGACTGAACTGGCTCTGTTTTTCAAAAAGAGTCTCCAATACTCTTTGGAAGACATGAAAACAGTCTTTGGGGGGAAAATCATTAATTAACACAGACAACATCAACTTGCCTCCCTGATTTCTTCAAACAGTTTGATGGCATGTTCATACTCGGGAGGCTCAGCATTCAGCTCTGACTCCAAGACGTCCCAGAAGGCCTGGTGGACAATGTGCCTTACTCGACCTGCCAAACTATAGAAATGAAATGGATTGTTTTTTTAAAATAAGAACTATTTTTCCTGATTATAAAAGAAATATGCCAATGGTAGAAATCTTAGAAAACACAGAAATCCAGAATAAAGATTGCTCATAATCCCCTTATTAATCTTTTGACATATCTGACATATGTTCAGTGAAGGAACTGTTTTACTACAACTGTTTTAATACTGGGTCTGTACAATATTATTTATTTATTGCACTTAATATTCTGTCTTAAGTGTTTCCCCTAGATTTTTAAAATGCTTCCTTCCTATAGCTTTCAGTAAGCTTATAAAATTCTGTCCTAAGAAGATACTGTAATTTACTAGCTACTCTTATACACAGATCTTTAGACTTGTTCTAGATCTGGGGATGAGATGACAGTTGCTCTTTCCTTAACAGCTGAAGTTTCGTGGCATGGAATAGAACAGATTGGCCCCAAGGAGACATGCATTTGAATGCCTGCCAACTTCAACTTAGATGTCCCATTTAAAGTTAGCCAGACCAAACTGCTGAAAGAGGAGACTTCCTAGGAAAGGCTCACAATAGAATAGGTGGCCATCCTGCTTTATTCTGCATGTCAATGTCCTAAAGTAGGTGCACATCAAAACACATAGCCCTACTGAACTCCCACAGCATTTTGTAACAGTTTTTGGAAAAGCACATATTTCTTTGAACTGTAATTACTTACAAGTCTCTATTCCCCACAGGGATATATGCCTCTCCCAGGTAGAGGCCACAACTTCTAGGGACTTGCCACTGTACCTAACACAGCACTGGCATTTACTGAATGTTCACTGAATATTTAGGTGAATGAATGAATAATTTGCTGGTTAAACATTATCTCCTAATTTTTCTTTTTAAAGTATAAATAGCTAAGTATACACTAACACTGTAAGAAGTGAAATTAGCTTTCTGAGGAGACTGAGTTAAAATTGTTTATATAACTGCAAACACTATATTATACTCAGCTACTTCACATATTAAAACTTATTCTAGCTGCCTGACTAGATTTATTCAACATAAATGCCATGTCCAATGTTTTAGACTCTCTTGAGCAATTATAGAACAATTAGAAAGGCAGACATCGCTGGGATGGATTGTTGTTCTCGACTTCACAAGCCTCATGTACCTGGCTAGAATGGACCAACCAGGAATGAGCTAAAACAACTTTATAGCTCCTTGAGGGATGTGAGGGTTTAAGTTTTGCAAAAGGCTACCAGGTACTTTTTAGCTCTTTAATTTTGGGAGGCAGAAGAGGTGGGGAGGGAGGGGTGGAGATGAGATCAATCAAATCATTTATAAGCATTCCTACTGGGTATCAGAAATCTGACTTAATTTATCAAGTGTTTGCCCCCAAGAAAATATTTAGTAAAATATGAGAGTTAGCCATAATTTACAAAGTAACAACCTGGCCATTGTGGAGAATCATTAGAAAAAGCAACAGCTAATGATATGCTATTTCACTTTTAAACAAAGGTAGTATGTCCCAACTCTGCATGTTGTTTCCCTTGCTCACATTTTCTAGCCGTAGCATTATACGAAGAGAAGGGGAATTCACACCTTCCAGAGTATCAGAGTACTTACATGCAAGGCACTTGTATGCCCAGAAGCATGCATATGAAGTGAGTATTGTGGTCCCCCTCTCATACCTGGTGAATGTGAGGCTCAGATACGGTCTTAGCAGAGCCAGGATTCAAACCCCAATGTGTCTCTGATCCTAGAAGGCCTTCGCTAGGCCTGTATTTGCAACTTTTAAATTGAAAGCACAAATACTCCCAAAGTGTCTTCTGCTGTACTTCATACAACATTCTAATTTTAACTTCAAAAATTCATTTTTATCAGTCTGTCAATAAATGTTTATTTAACATTCAATATGTGGTGGGCCCTATTTTAGATGCTGAGGTGTAGTGAAAAGAAGGTCTCTGCTCTCAAAAAGCTTGTATTTTAGCAGGGACAGAAAGACAAAAAACACATTAAAAGTGAGTAAGACAATTTCAGAGCCAAGAGGAAGACAGAGGAAGACAATGTGGTAGTTAGTGATGAAGAGGGTGCCCACCTGACTGGGTGGTTGAAGAAAGCTTCTCTAAGACAGTGAGCTTTGAGCTGAGACTTGAATGGGGAAAAGGAAGCAGCTGGTGAAGATCTACGAGCAGAACACTGAAAAAGAAGGCAGAAGGACAAAGTCCCCGGGGCAGGATGAAGCTGGTGAACTCCCAGATCAGCAAGGAAGCCAGTGTGGCTGAAGCACAACAAGCAGGAGGGAAAGGAGTGAGAGACTCGGTCAGCAAAGGGGGCTGGTCATACTGAAGAGTTTTTGAGTTTTTATTCTAAGTGTAAAAGAATCACTGAAGGGTTTTAAGCAAAGACATGATCTAATCTGATTTACCTTTTAGAAAGATCACTATGGTTACCCGTGGAGGATGGAGTATGGGGAGCTAACGATGGAGACTGGGCAACCAGTTAGAACTGAAAGAGTCTAAGTCAGAGATGACAGTGGCCTGGCCTGGGGGTGCAGCAGCAGAGCTGGTATGGAGGATCATGGTGAAATGCAGTCACCACAGAAAACCAAACAGATACACCTACTCTGGCCAGTGATTTAAAAAAAAAAAAACAGTTATGACTATTATGAACAACACCTCCAGGAGCAGGAGGACCATGAGCCACATTTTAAAGAAGGAAAATTATTATGTTTATTATTTTCCAGTTTAAAACAAACAATAAAGTTCTGAATGGAATCAAATGCTATATGTTGTCTTGGTTGATAGATTTATACATGGCACTGTGAGGCTGAAGATTCAGTGCTGTTATCCAAGAGCGAACTTTGCCTCTAAAGATGATTTACCTGCAGTAATGGCTGCAAGCCTTTTCTCCTCTTTGTCCCAGGGGATTTGTGAGCCACTGAAGCCAGAAAGACCGAGGTAGGGTACAAGGGCATGGCTCTACCTAGAGGTTCTTTGCGGCGGTGAGGTTAACCAGGGGTGCTGTGGCTCCTACCTCAGAGGCTTCTGGATCACCTACTCTTAGCACTTTGCAGTTCAGCTGCACTCATTTATCTTTCACAACCTGAGTATCAGTTTTTAATAAGTCAGTCTACAAATATTTCTTGAGCATGTCCTACATGTTAGGCACTCTGCTTGGTAACAGGGACACAGCAAACAATATGGACACAGTTTCTCCACTAATGGTGCTTTTGGTTAAGTGGTAAAGACAAGACACTGAACATAAAATTATAAGACATCTTAACAAGGGGGGAGATAGGGGACTATCACAGTCTTTAGAAGGGGATTTAATGTAGTCTAGTGGGCTCAGGAATGTCAGGAAAAGCTTCCCTCAGAAGTGGCATATAAGCTGAATTCAAAAGATTATGAGTAACATATATTCTAGAGGAATGGTTTTAAAAACAAATATAAGAACTTATTAGAAAACTAACTTAATACACTCTCTATATACTCTTAATACTACTTACTCCCAGTGGATATTATATGAGACCTTCAAGGAATCAGTGTGAATATTTGTGTTCACTGTATACACACAGACACACACACACACACACACACACACACACAGCGTCTGCAGCATAGTTTATGAACAACAGATGCCTCAGGGTTACCTGCTCTCAGGGAGGGCATCTTGTTTCAATTGGAAGTTCTCATTTACAGCAATTTCATGGGCAAGAGTCATGTTTGATAAGTTCTTTGTTGCAGCCATCACTTCGTCAAATGTTACCACCCTGGGAGGGCTTGTTGCTGAAACGAAACAAAAACTAGTTAAGCTGTGGAAGAGAAGCTGTCATCCAATGAATTCTCCTCATGCAGACAAGGTTTAAGTTAAGCCATTATATATTCTCAGGATTTTACAAGTAAGAAGAATGTAAAAATCTGTGGATTCCCCTAATTAATACTTAATACTTCAAAAATTTAAGAACTCCTTTGATAGCTTCAGTTACTGTACTGATAATAAATTCTCAAATGTTTTTTAAAAAACTTTATTAATATAGGCTATTATGTTACTTTTAAAAATTAAATGACCTCATTCTTTAGTGCCCATTGATATCTGCATTTATTACATGAACTACATAGGAAATTGATGACTACTTTTTTTTTAATTTAAGTATAGTCAGTTTACAATGTTGTATCAATTTCTGGTGTACAGCATAGTGTTTCATATATATACATACATGTATTCCTTTTCATATTCTTTTTCATTATAGGTTACTACAAGATATTGAATATAGTTCCCTGTGCTGTACAGTAGAAACTTGTTATCTATTTTATATATAGTAGTTAGTATCTGCAAATCTCGAACTCCCAATTTATCCCTTCCCACCCATTTCCCTCTCTGGTAACCATAAGCTTATTTTCTATGTCTGTGAGTCTGTTTCTGCTTTGTAAATAAGTTCATTTGTGTCTTTTTTTTTTTTGATTCCACATATAAGTGATAACAGATGGTATTTTTCTTTCTCTTTCTGGCTTACTTCACTTAGTATGATGATCTCCAGGTCCATATATGCTGCTGCAAATGGCATTATTTTATTCTTTTTTATGGCTGAGTCATATTCCATAATATATATATATATGACTACTTTTTATTCTCTAATTCATAACTCTCATTAATTTAAGCATATTCAATATGAAATAATTGATTTAAAAACAACCCCATAACTTCTAAAACTATAGGCAGTATAGCATAAGGCTTAGGTTCAATTCTAAGGTTTGCTGGTTGGTAGTTACCATTTGACTTCACTGAAGCATAACTTACCTCCTCATAGGGCTGTCCTGAAGTGATTAAACAAGGTAATTTAAGTAAAAAAGAACATGGTAAGAACTCAATAAATTAAAATAAGATAAATCTGGTAAGCTGGATCATCTACTTCTCAGCAGGAAGTAGTGAATAAAGAATTATTCCAGTTATTTGTGAAGATTATTCAAAAATTATTCTAATAAATCATGTCTTTGAAACCACTGTTGGAACTCTCAGCTTCTGTTCACTAAAAATCATTATCTCAAACAACAGTACTGACTGGCAATACTTTGCTATCTAAAGCAATTCTAGAAAGAAGAGGAGGGGGAGGAGGGAATTATGATATACAATTAGCAAAACCTTCTTCAGGACGCCTAGGGACCCTGCTAGAGGCATCAATCCATTTGTAGCATAAAGAGTGAGAAAAAGCACTGAAATCTGGGTGGCTGCTAATAAATTCTTTTGCCAATTCTTTGTCCCATTATGGTTCTCCTTAGAAATGTCTGTATCCTTTGGTCCAGCAATCCAATTATATCCAAAGGAATTCCTAGAAAGGCTTTATGTACCAAGATGTTCACAAAGCACTATTTATAATGGCAAAAAAATGGAAATGAATTAAATGTCCAACGATATATCAGTGGTTAAATAAATTGATGGTATATTCACTTGATGAAAGTGGTAAGTAGTAATAAAAACAATGTTTTAAAAATACATTATCATGAGCAAATGTTTTAGTTAGAACAGTGAAACAAGTCCACACACACATACACACACACATATATGTCTATGTGGCGAATGAAGATGTGACAGAGCACTGCCAGCTGTCATCTCTGGGTGACATTATAGGCAATATTTTCTTTTCTCTCTACTTATCTGGGGGCAGGTGGGCTCAACTATCCCCTGGAAAGGAGATTCTGGGCACATGAGATGATCAGATCTGAGCCCAGGAGCGTCCCGTTTTTTAATGAGAATGTACAAATTTAAAATAAATAAAAATGAACAACTTCTTTTTGAAGTGGGCATTTGATCACATTAAACATTAGTTGCTTCTTTCTGCATTGGTTTTGGCAGCTTAAAGGGTTATATTGCCTAATACGAAATGCCAATTAAAAAGCTAAGAAAAAAAAGACAAACATCTGCTTCACACCTCTCTAGTTTCCACACACAAAAAAGGAAAAAGACGTCTCCCTTCACTGGGGCTACTCTTTTAATTCCTTCTCACACCCCTCGTGTAGTCATTCTCCTTGTGGGCACTTTTCTGGAGTGGTTTGCACAATAGATTTTGAAATCCACAGGAAATCCTTTAGACTATTTCACTTCCTGCCTGACCCTTGAGTTGTGGCAAGTTTCCTTCTATGTAAATCAGAAAGGAATAATTTGAATATATCCTTGAATGTGGCTCAAAAAATGATCTCATGGAGTAGCTTTCCACTATTTGAGAGATAAGACAGGTGGGGTTGGGAGAACTAATTCAGAGTCAAGGCAAAGCAGATCAGAGTGATGAAAATAAAAATGGATAGGTTGTAAAGTTTGGGTCTCTTTATTGCTGAGGGTGTGTACAAGATAGTTGCAGTGCCCTAGCAATGCTATTCCAGTACATCAAGAAAGGAGGGCAAGTCGGTACTTTGCTCTCACTCATTTCTGAGTTTTAAAATCCAACACATATGTCTAGAACCATTCCCACCACTCCCAGCCCCTGCTCCCTGTTGACTTACAAGCAGGAGAGCTGGATTTGCTGGAGGAGTCGCTTGTAAAGCTCTGCCTGGAGCACTCACAATCACTGAGTGAAGCCATGCTTTCGGAAAACCGGGAAGAGTCTGAATCGCTTGGCTGGTCCTCGCCCACACAGTGCTTCTCGCCATTGAAGGGCATCTTGTGTCACTGGAGTGTGGGGAAAGAGAGAGCACCTGCACAGACAAACAGACCCTGCGTCAGCATTCCACGGTACCTCCACCAGTGGTGCCCGTGCTTCTTCCAGCACTGACAGCCCTGTGGCATGTGTCACAGCACTGGAAAGGCCCCCAGAAGATGACTTCATCCTTTCCATGGCACCCCAGCCAGCTATGATGGGGCCTGCAAGACTGCCTTCCAGAAAGGGATTCCACAGCCATAGGTGTGTGCTCACACAGGAAATACCTAGTGTGAACAGGGAGCTGCTCTCAGCAATGATAGGTCATCAAAAACAGTGCACAGAACACACACGCTCTTCTCCTGGGGTCGCTAAAGCATGGGAGGGTAAGAGTAAGAGTGTAGAGTTCTGGGGTCAGACTACCTGGATTTTAGAAGCTTGTTCTGTCTTTTGCCATGTGACCTTGGAGAAGTCACTTATCTCCCTACCTCATCAGTAAAACTGGGCTGAAAGACTAACCTCATAAGGTTGCTTAAGGATGAAATACGATTAATCTTTATCCAAGTGCTTAACACAGCATTCAAATATCAGCTATTGTTATTGTCCCTCTGTCTTTGTTTTAAATAAAATACTTTTGAAATCATCTTTAGTTATCTGTGAGCCTCTTGGGGAAAGAGGAAGACTAATGAAAATCTCTGGCTGGCAAGTCTATAGGGTTTTCTTCTCCATTTTCCCATGAACTGCTATGCTATGAAGAGTAAGGCTTGATATTTGGTTGGTACTTGACAATTTACAAAGTACCCACGGCCACCCAATGAACAAACAGGCACAAAAGATCCTGATTCACAGGCTGGGAAAGAACAGACTCTGGAGACTTACTGTAAAACCAGTCCCTTGACTCTACATCCAGGGCTGTTTTGGGGACATCAGACTGCTTCTCAGGGAAGGGCAGTTGGGCCCAGACACCCCTGAAAAGGAGATCCAGGGCACATGGGATGCTCAGAACTGAGCGCAGGAACCTCAGCCAGGCCCATGAAGGGGCTGGCCCTGATATGAGTGTGGTGTTAGCTGACACTGAGGGGAAATCCGGGCCTGAGGAAAAAGGCACCTCAATTCCTGAACGGACAGTAATGATAGTAAGGGCTCACTGAGGCTCTTTAAACCTGAACTGGCCCATGCAATGAGGTGCTCAGATCTTTTAAAGCTGTCAGAATGTGAAACCGTAACTACCTGTAGACTGCCTGGAAATGCCTACACAGTTTCTCCAATGATTCCTTTCATATGTATTAAGTGCCTACTATGTACCAGGCACTGGGAAAAGTAATGGTGAAATTATGCAGGACCATCCTCTCGTGGCTTTCAAGATCAGTTGCCTAAAACTGTGTGTGAGATGCTGGAGGACAAGAAAAGGGAAGCCAAGGCATTGCTGAGGAACATGAGAAAGGAGCGGCAGGGTTAGGACCAAGGGGGATTGAGCTGAGAGAAATGATGGATTTTTTTTGTTTTTTTAATGGAGGTACTGGGGATTGAATCCAGGACCTCATTTGTACGTGCTAAGCATGTGCTCTATCACTGAGCTATTTCCCTTCCCTAAGAAATACTGCTATTTTTTTATCCCTTAGGTGATGACAGAAAAATGGATGAACCTGGGAAGGACTTATTAAAGGTGAAAATCCCAAAGGCATTTGCCCCTGGCCGCACCTAAACAACCTTCTCCAGTCCTGGCACTTGTAGAAATGCACACTTGCTCAGCACACCACTTTTGCAAACAGAAAATCACCAACTCTGAGGAGGTTATCCCTGCAGACCGAAGGGCATGGAATGAGGTGGAGCTGCCAGGAAGCCCCCACATAGACACATTTACCTTTTCCTAGAGTTCCCAAACCAACCACCTCGGATACAGGATATAAAAGGACCTGAACCATTGCATCCTCAGTGGTGAATTCACCTCCTTTACCCCAGGCAAACTATATTCTCCTAGAGCTTTAACTCCCAACTGCTGAAGGAGGTGAGGGTGGGGGTGGTGATAGAGGACAGAAGGAAAGAGTCTGCTTTAACCCTTTCACTTGCACCAAACCCCAAATCCCAAGTGAAGTGTGTGTCCTTTCCTCAAGCTTTCTCTGTCTCTTTGCCAACATTTTATTTCTCATTGATGGTATTTCTTGCAAATGCTACCTTCTCCAGGAAGCCTTCCCTCTACACGGTGGCCAGAGCTAAGGGCACTCTGTACACCTGCAGCACATCTCCTGTATCCGCACAATAACGCTTAGTCCCTTGTAGTTATTTTCCTCTCAAGGTTACTTCCAACTCTCCTTAACAAGGCAGGAACCATGTCTTGTCCACCATCAGTGTCAAGTATGCGACAAGTGTTCATTCGGTGTCAGCTGAATCGGAACCATTGAATCCCATTTAGTACAGCTGCAACCAGAACATTTACAAACTGATATCACCACACATTTACTGGCCTGGCACTGCCAAAGTCCGAGGCCTGCAGCAGAGAACCTACCACCTATATCTACCTTATTAGGCTTAAGACTCAATATTCCCTGGCCCTGTCATGCTCTTACTATTTCCACTTGATTATTTTTTCCAGTCATTCCACTGTAATAACTGTGCTATGTATGTTCTGCTCCCAATTTCTCTTCACTTTGGCTATTTTTCCAAGTAAAGGTGAATAAAAGCTTTTATCCATTGGAATTTATGAACTAGGTTAATAGCTATAACTGTCCATTTCATTTTCTACTCCAGCTGAACAGCACACTTTGCAGGTTTCTTAATTGTGTTTAACAAGGCAGCTAAGTACGAAGATTTAAAAAATAAAAAGCTCTAGGTTAGGAGGTAGAGGTCCAGGTGTGAGGCCCAGTCTATTGTTGATTTGCCGCATGACTTTATCACATCTGCTCTCTTCACCTCATTTTTCTGAGGGGGGCGGGCAGTGGGCCAGCTATCAGGTGCCTTTTAGTGAGGAATTGGTAAAATGCAATAAACCCAAATTTCCATGAGGCATCACTAGAAGTTCTGAGAAATTAAATGTGCTCATGGCAGACATGCTTAATAACATGCGCAACTACGCTTTCTTCCAACAGTCTACTAGAGGGAGAGCTTCTTGTAGAGGGGATGTAACAGAAAATTTAAAAGCTTCAAAATGTTTAGAAATTCTTGTTTAGTTGGTAGAAGCCTTCATATCACAACTGGGTTTTAGTGGATCCAAGCAGAAACTTTTGTTTGAGGCTAAAATGCCCACTATTACTCTATCAAGAAATTGCCTGCTTCCTCATATTAATAGTACCTAACTCATAGGGTTGGTGTAAGATTTTATTCAGTCAATATATGTAGAGTGCTTGGAATAGTGTCTGACAGAGTGAACAGGACACAGATGTTTGCTATTGTTAGTATTATTTGCTTTTATAGTTGTTATCATCATTATTTTAGGCATTAAACTCTGAAAGGAAAAATAATTTTATTCCATGATGATAAAAGCATGTTTTCCTACAGACAACAAAGACAGGCAGTTAATCTAAGACAGAAGTCTTGCATTCGTTTGAATTACAAAAATCAAAAGTAACATTGTAAACTGACTATAACTCAATTAAATAAAAAGCAAATGGCTCATCATGGTGTAAGTGGTCTTTTGGAAGTTCATTCACACTTGCTCTTACCTTTCTTGGTCTTGGGTTTCCATATAGGTCATCTTGGGACAAAGCTACTTGACTGAAAGGCTCGAGGGTAATTAGACTGCTTTTAAAGCTATTTTGGATTCTCTCAGAATAGTAATAATGAAAACAGGTTGTTTCTTTAAGAAAGGTAATGCTTCTCATACCGACAAACTTAGATCTACTTAACCTTCATCATTGCAACTCACCAACCAACCGAACAACTTCTCAGGAACACTGCATCTCATCCTGCCTGGGAGGATTTATTCACTGGCCAAAGGTAAAGTCAATTTGAAGACAGACACTAACTCCAAAAAAAGCCTCCAACACTATAGTGTGTCACTATTCAAAAAGAATAATCGGTTTTCATTGTACTATTCCACATTTTATAATGTTAATGGCAATATTATATCATTCCTTCCAACAACAATAATTGAGAGAAAGCAGGCACTTAAATATTTACTGTTGAATGAATGGATGAATGAATGGCAGTACGACCACTAACATTTTAGAGTGGAGGGGGCAAGTACAGAGACCTGAAGGAGATAGTCCTCTGTTTCACCACAGCTGGAGGGGAGATCAGTTTTTAAGTTGTCAGTGAATCCTCAGTCTTCGTCCAGATTACTTTACTTCCTTATTTCCTTTCTGCAGCAGACTCTATCTGGAGATGATCCTGTGCTGGTTCAGGATTGCGAAGATCCACCAGTGACAATGCACATGGCACAGAAGCAGTAAGAGCACTGGCTCTGGAGCCAGGTGGACTGGTTCTTGATCCCGACTCTCGGTATTTACTGACTGGAGACAGGAAACTTAACCATTTACAAAATGGGAACAACAGTAGTATCTACCTCTAGAATTGTTGTGAAGAATAATTGAAATAGTCTATGTCAAATATTCAGCTCCTCATAGGTCCTTAATAGATATCAACTATTATTTTATTCTTATTAGAATAAATTATGAATTTTAAAAGTGTCAATGTCATAAAAAACAAAGAAAGGCTAAGGCTATGTTCCAGATGAAAGGAGACTTGATACCTGAGTGCAAGAGATGATCCTAAATTGGATCCCATACAGGAAGAGGGGAAAATGCTATAAACGGACACTTTTGGGCCACTTGACAACATGGTTACAATACATGAATCTACTGTCTGTATTACAATGTTAAATTTACTGAAGTTGATAAATGTACTGTGATTATGCATTTAGGAATAAAGGCCTGTAATATATAAAACTTTCTATCCAATGATTCAAATGAGAGAGAAAAAGAGAAAACAATAAAGCTTATGGAGCAAAATGTTAACAGGTGAGTATGAGTCGAAGGTAGACATAGAGAGTTCTTGGTACCATTCTTGCAACTTTTTCTGTAAGTTTGAAATTATTTCCAAGCAAAAGGTTAAAAGAGAGGAAGAAGTACTGAACCAAAAGCTCAAGCCTAATTCAGAACAGCCCAGTCCCCTGCAGTTTTTAGGTCCTGATTGTTCCCACCACTGCAACAGCTTAGATACCACTCTATTATGAAAGGTCTTCCAGACAATCAGACTCATCCCAGTGTCCTTCTTGAACAGTGCCTAGTGAATAAAACAGGAAATCTTCCAGAAATCTTCCAGAGCCCTTCCTTCAGAAGAGGTGGCAGAAATCATCCCTTTCAAGAGTTCTTCTCCAGGTGGGTTCCGTTTTCCCAAGAAGTCTCTTGGCAGTGGTTTATAATCCTTCTGTGATTGGGACCCTGCCCATTTCATCCTGTACCATACTCCCACTAACCCTTAGTGCTCCAGACACAATGGCCTTCTTTGGGTTCCTCAGACATACTAAACTTCCTCCTTTGGAGCGCTTACACCTGCTATTCTCTCCCAGTGGGATGTTCTACTCCCTGATCTCTGTGTGGCTGGATCCCTGTCATCATTCAGATTTGAAAGCAGACATTACAACTTCTAAGTGAACTTCCTTGACATCCTCACTCATTCTATTTAAGTTAGTCATCTCAGAACACTGCCTGGAATAGAAGGGGAGCTCAAGGAGCATCACTGATGAACAAATTAAGCCACACTATTCACAAGACAACTTGGGCTGCCCTTCTCTGCCTCACTCACACTGCTCATATTTGTATTATGCAGTCACTTAAAGTACAATAGCTGTCTGCAAATCTGCCTCCCCACTAAATTTTAAGCTCCTTGAGGGAAGAAGCTATGTCTCCCTTGTCCAATTTCCAGTGCCTATCTCAACAAATTTCCAAGGCATCCATAATTCAAATTAGCAAAGACTCACAATCCTAGAGCTTAAAAAAGCTTTTACATTGTGCCTTTCCACCCTCCTAATGTTAACTGATAGTAAATAATAACAATTGAAGCTAATAGTTATTACTTACTATGACTTGGCCCCTATGATATCAGCGCTTAAAATGTATTATCTCCTTGAATCCTCATTATAACCTTGTTAGCTAAGTTATCATTATCTCTGTTTTATATATAAGAACCTAGGGCACAGACAGGTTAAATTATTTGCTTGAGGGTTCACGGCAGTGGCAGACGCACAACTCAAATCCAAAAGTTTGTGCTGTTTACCACTCTAGGACAGCTGGAGAAAATCTGGTGTATCACTCATTCTTTTCACTCCCACTCTGCCAAATCGATCTACCCATCACCACGTGAACACTTGCATATGTGGTAGCAAGCTGACCTTACCCCTGGGGTGGCTGCTCAAGAGCTAAACCATAAAGGGCATCACTGAAAGAGTCTACTGTCCAAAATCATTCTCAATTACCCTGCTAGAGTGAAAATCCCCCATCAGGGAGCCATTCTTTATGCACTGCAAAATCCCTCCTTAAAATCCAAATATTATCAAAAGGGTTATTTGCTTACAGCTAGTATGAGTCAAAAGCATTTTGAAGTGAATTCAGTTTATCCAGCAGGGCCCTGAGGAATGGAACCCATCCAATTCAGGTTAAATCATGGAAAAGAGAAAATTTCAAGAAACATCTAGTGGGCATCAGCCTTCAAGACCAGATCAAGGTCAGGTGCAAGGGCAAGTATTCACATACTTGTAGTAAAGGGCAGGGGAGTAAGACTGGGCTCTGAAGGAAAAAAACTGCAGATGACATGGAAAATCTTCATCTTCTGCAAAATACTGCTTTAGAACGAGTCCTAAACAGCAGCACTAAAAAGCTATTCACACACAGCAAAGCAAAAACCACAAAGCAGGGAGGAAGGTGCCTGCTCCATTCAGCTAGAGAATACCGGTCTTCATCAAATTAGAGCCAACAAAGAGCTAGATAAAAGCCAACAAAGCCAGCCATTGTCTAAAAAAGCAGATGTTTACGCTACACAAAACATTACAGCATCAGGGAGAAGGATTTCTAGGCACTTTTCACACTAGAAAACACTTCTCCTCCCACCCCTGGCTGGCCTGTTTTAGTACCTGTTTCCCCTTCTGGGCCCTCAACCCCCCAACAAAACGGCACTGAAGCTGCTTCCATACATGACTGGGTATCTTCAGCCTTGGGCCGCTTCAAGTCAGGCAATCTCCATGGGCTGCCAGACTGATGTATGAAATCCCTGGAGGCAAGAGGAAATGACAGGCAGGGTGCCTCCTAAAGAGGGAACCACTGCCATAACCTCATTAAGTTTGGTAGGTAGGACAGAGCAAGGTCTCTGACTGGGCTGGAGGCCATGGGACCACGGGAATCACCGGCCTAGGGGCCCAGTGGAGACAAGGACAACTTGGCTAGTTTCTTCAAGGTGAAAGTAACAGGACAACCATCGAGGACAATATTTCCCCTTTGAGTAAGACTCTTCACGCCTGTTACCACATTTCCATCCTCACCTGTGCTCTATCAAACACCTCTCTTTATCTGGACTAGATTTTTGCATTTAAAATACATTTATTATGAAAAGAAACTTTATATCATTGTGAAATCGCTCGGTATGATGGAACAGTTTTTCTTAATACTAAGGAAAACAACCATATTCGTCCACGTGCCACCTCAAATCATCGTTGTTACCTCAAGTGGTGCCACCCAGAGGGGCAGCTGTGGGAAGCACAAGCCATCCCTGAGAGCCCTGGGGTCTGAGCCCGGGCCTGACGGGCATTTCCCGCCTCTTCCGCGTTTGAGGGGGCGGTCAAGGGGACGGGTTGGGAGTCTGCATACCCCTCGCCCACGTCCTCCGGCCGCCCCTCCCCTCCAGCGGCACGTTTCCTGTCAAAACAAACCCTTGGGGAAGGAGACGGCGGAGGCTTAGCCGTACCGAGGAAACCCCGGCAACAAACCCCAAACACACGCTTGGAGCCCCGCCCGGCCCCCAACCGCAGCTCAGTTCGCCCACCACAGCCGGCCCAGATCGCAGGCGACAGGGTGCCCCCTCCCGGAGCCCGGATGGTGGGAAGCCGCCTGCGGCGCGCTCGCTGGCACGGTCCCAATGCGATGTAAACAGAGGCCAAGCGGCCCCGACCGCGGCGCCTCCAGGGCCCATAGCGCGACACCACGCCAACACTGGCCGTGGCCACTAGGTGCCCGCGCCCCGCTCCCACGCGGGACGGCGGTTCGAGGTCAAACAAGGGGATGTAGGGGGGCGGGGTAGGGAGCAAGAAGCGGGGCTTTACAGCCCCTCGCCCCAGCGTCCCAGGACGGAGCTCTGAGATGGGGTCGGGGAGGCCCTCGGGTTGCCCTGGGGCGAGACGTCTCCCTTCGCTGGCCTGGGCTCATTACCTCAGAGCCGGTGGCCCCCTCCCCTGGGATGGTACACACCGGGTCCGGCGCGGAGACAGGCGGAGGAGAAAGGCGACTGAGTGACCCCGGGTCAGGGGTCTCTGAGTGTCCCCTCACCGAACAGGGCACAAACACCTCAGAAACTCACGAGTCCAACAGCCCTCAGCCTCCCCGGTCCCCTACGCGGCATTTAAAGGGGCGGGAGGGACTCCAGGGAGGCATCCACGGCGTGGCCACCCCGTAACGGGAGAGCGGGGGAAAGACAGTAATCGGGATAGGGGGAAGTCTCGGGCACTTCAGTTTCGACAGCAGAGTTCTGACAGACCTGACCTAATACAGGCAATTTACCTCAGTGTTCGGATGAAAGAGGCCAAGACGAGCTTGGATTAGGGGTGTTTGGGATGCGAGCTGAACGGTGCCCCCCCCGTAGGCTGCGATGGTTCAGTCCGAGAACTGCTAGGGGCGGGGAGAGAAGTGTTTACGGAACTGGGGCAGCGGTGCCTTCCCAAGCCCCGGGTGTTGGAGGCGGGGCCTGTCGGGGCGCTAGGAGCGGGGCGAAGCTGCTTGGTGATTCTCCTGTGGAGCGCTGGACTGACACCTCTGGGCTCCCGGGGCGCACCACCTTAGACAATGCTGCAAGCTCCCCGGCCGCGAGTGGAACTTTTACTGCCCTAACACCCCTCATCTAGACCGGGCGATCCAAATTGAGTGCCCTCTATCACACCGTCTACACAGAGACCACCCAACCCACAACGGGACAAGTGCCTGCCCACGCACGTCTGCCACCAACTTGTCACTTATGTTTATGTCTGCACCTCCACAGAAACAGGAGCCCAGATTTGCTTATGGCTGGACAGAGCGATTATCTCCTGGGATTCACCCACTCAGGATCTCTGAAGACAAACTTCGTGAGCATGCAAAAGATAAAGCGTCTTACTTCCCCTAGGGTTCAAGGCAGCACCTATCTCTGAGAGAAGTTTCGACAGAGGTTAATGTAATAAGCAGTCCCAGAGGACCTCTGTGCGGTCAGGCCTACTGTTCAGCCCTGTTGTGGGTGTGCTTTGGGATGTACATAAACACCCGTCCCCCTACCGCAAACATGAAAACCCCTGTATCTTCTGCTGGGTGTAAATTGATGTTATTTGGGAGATAGTTTCTTGTGAGAATGTAAGTGACTTTTGTATAGGCTCGAGTATTTCCATTTAGTTTTGAAATCATGTCTGGATTGTGGAGGCAAAATTGGTTGTAGGAAAAAAACAAACAAACCAGGAACATTTTAAGGGTGGGTAGAAAGTCAGTTAACCTAGGTGGAATCATTCAGTTTTACAACAGGGGCTCCGCTTGCGTTCAAACCCTGGCTCTGACATTTACTGCTATGAGATCTTGGTCAATGGGAATAACATGATAACTATCTCAAGGGGTTATTGTGAGGACGAAATGAGATAAAGCATGTGAAGTGCTTAGAGTTGTACACAGTAAGCAATCAGTGTTAGTTGAAACTATTTTGGCAAACCCCTCTGAACAACCTTAACTAGTGATATTTATTAATTTGTATTTGTGTCTTCTTATGCCACTCTCTCCTCCTTTCTCCTAAAATACACAACTTGACACAAATCAAGAGATTAAAGAGAAAATGCTATGGCCACCCATGTTCTTTCCTATGAACCTTGTTTATGTCATTTGATGGAATTAGCAGTCAGGTTGACAGAAGCCTCTAATTTCAATTCTTGCCAAAGAACAAACACCACATAACTGCCATCACCACGCTAAAAACTCTACAATAGAAAGATTAACTAAAAATATCCATCAAACTTCTGAACACTGTGACAATGACATATTGTGGCTTTGTTTCCTTTGTTGGCTTTGTAGGAGTTTGTTAAGTATTGTTTTGCTGTATTACATAATGTGAAGCAGGTAAGCATGAGTCAGGAGAGTTGTCCAGTTTACCTGGGTCACCAGCTGCCTGACCCTGGGCATGGCACTTTTTTAAAGCTCAAATAGGTATCTCTCAAAGCTACAAGGAAGCAATTTTTGTCAAAGCAGGTGAGTCAAGTTTCAGCATGTGCTGAGGTGAGAACCTTGAAGGGGAAGAGGAAGGGTAACATCAGAGACCCTTGCCAGAGAAAGAAAATACCCTGGAAAAACAATCTTCTATTACATCAACATTAAATAAGTAGCTATCTGGAAACCTTTTCATCAATTACCTGACCAACTTCCTGTAGCTGGGCTTGTATATAAAAGTACTTTGAAGAAATATAGTACTGTAAAGTATTAGAGAGTTTCCTTCAAAAAGAGAGCCTTGTATCATATTCTTGCTCAGAGAGCTCAGGCAGTCATAGAATAAAATCCTCCTTGCTCAGATTATGTTCATGACCTTCTGAAAAAAGTCTTAAAAGGCAACCTCTTTAGTAAGTAAAATAATTAGCCTTTTATTTGAAGAAGGCATACTATCACACCTAATTTTTCTAACTTTCCTTTTTTTAATCACTTAGAGAACTCATGATAAAGCAATTTATTTTTCTCTATAAATTACACAACAGACTACATCTGATCTATTCCTTTGGCAAACGACTAAGGGCAGATCAAAATTTATGCTCTGTAAAGAAATATAAATACTAATTTTCTTTTGACACATCTTAAATCTGAGTTTTAAATTACAGTGAATCCTTGAAATAAATCAGAAAACCAAAAAATGTAATTTTAATATGGATTTGCAAACTCACAACCATTTAACTTTTATCGTGGAGCTGCATCTTGTGCTGATCTAGCATCAGGCAAGTTCAACTAGGCAGACTAAGATGGGACATGGGGTGGGGAGCACAACAGCATGATTGGGATCCTGGCAGTGATTTTAACCCCCTCGCTCCATGGGAATTATGAGGCTTCTCTTCCTGAGTCGATGTCAGTTTCCAAGCTTTTTCTTACTTTCTAAGCTTCTTATCCATGGCTGGCTTCATGCGCAAGCAGTGGCTCAAGGCCCTACACTTGGAAGAGGCCCACACTTGGCTTAATGTTCTACTGCTGCCAACTTGAAATTCTCAATATTTTTCAAACCAGGAGCTCTGCATTTTCCTTTTGCATGGGACCTCAAAAATTATGTAGCTGGTCCTGATCTCACCACACAGAATATGTCTGGCATTTGAAGGTATTTATTTTTCCTTAATCTGTCCCCAAATATAAATCAGTTATTTTATCTAGTACTCAGCTGAAGAAAGACATATCTGTTTCAATGCTGTAGGCAAAACAAACAAACAAAAAACCCTGGGTGTTTTCCAGGCCTTATGGCCCATTTAAGGAAATTTCATGGATAAATTTGACTGCATATGATTTTGTCCTTATGTTCTCTCTGTGGAACCTAACCCCTCATATAAGATATGACTCCACAGTAAGTAGAAAATTGATTAAATGGAACCTATTTCTGTTTCTCTCCTCTAACCATCTTAAGGTTCTAGGAAGAGCTAAAAAAGCAGTAAAGGGCAAAAAAGGCAATAAAAAGTAGGAGAAAGAAAAATAATTTGGCTAAGGTACAAACTAGATAATTGGTCACTGAATGTTCAAAATTTAATCACATCTTCTTGGCAAATTTTGTCTTTTTTTTTTTTTAATCTTGAATAGAAGGCAGATTTAGATCACTGACCAGCTTTGGAAGTGAATCAAAATGTTGATGCACCCAAACCAGTTTTTTTCCCCTGACTCCACTGAACTGAATTGGTGCCAATCATTCCAGTTGCCTTTACCCTCACACCTAGCAGAGTAAAAAGGAAACCATTCTTAATTAGTAACCCCTCCTGCCCCCCACCTTCACCCTCAGTGGGCCCCCTTCACTTACCTGGAAACCACTGTTTTCTCTTGGAAAGCAGAAAAGAGTGAGGACCAGCAATGAAGATGGCTCTGGGCAGGAAGTGGGAGGGGTCAAGCAGAGTTGAAGCTCAAAGGAGCACCTATGAGAGGCCAAAGAGGTGATGGCTCAGAGCTCAGCCAAGACAGCCAGCTCTCTACTCCACCTCTGGGTCAGCAGGCAGTTGTTTTCTAAATGTCTTCATAGTCCTTTCAACCATGGATGAACATTTAGGTCCTCACTTTAAAAATCAATTGGAATACCCAGTGTGTTGGGGCAAGAGCTTCTAAAGTAAGAAGCAAAACTCAGAAGCCAAAAAGGAAAAGATTAAGAAATGTGACTCTTCAGATAAAGTGTTCAACTTAAAAACACGAGTTATATAACAATCATTATGCGGTGATAACACTTACGCTTGAGAGAGAGAGCTGGCAGTAGAGTGCAAGTTTGTATTTTGTATATATAAAATGCATAGAAATAGACTGAAAAGTTATCCTCCAAACTGTTTGAGAGGCAAGATTGGGGGATGTTTCTGATTTACTCTACAGACATACAAATTGCTTATTTTTTTTTTACAGTGAGAATGTATTCATTCATACATTATTAATGTAATTTCACACTGTCATAAAATACTATTCTTATATTTGTATGCCCTCCTAAATATACCTCATTGGTGGTGGGCTATTAACACTACACAATAGCTTTCCCATCTCCTTTGTATTTATATTTTTAAAAGTCATGATAACAAAAGGAGCTTTTATGTAAACTGTGGAAAGGAATCAATTTGCAAAAAGCCCTTCACTCTGGTATGTCAAAATTATTTATGCTGGGGTGAGGGGGTGGAATACTAATCTTTACTTTTTAAGTTGTTCCCTTCAAGCCCAATTCTTAGGTAGTCAAAATGCATAGAGTTTACTTTCATTTTAAAAACATGTTTTTCCCCACCTGCAACCTCTAAGAATTTCTTTCCTTTGATGATAAACCAAAGTGGTGGGACTTAAATAATTATACTACTTTTTGAGGACAAAAAATTGAGAGCCCTGAACACTCAGTTGTCTGTATAGTAGGTTTTACCTGAGTTCCTGGGGTTCTATAGGAAGATATTATATTAGGGAACTGAGAGTTTATGACTGACCAAAGAGATATTCAGTGACTCACTAAATTGGATGGTCAAGAATAGAAACCAAAACTAATTTCATGGCTTCTCTACACACACAGAGACACATGGAGTGTCACATGCAAAGTTATTACTTATTGGCGTATTTATCTAACCTCCATAACAACATGCCAACAAGCATACCAGCACTATATCAACTAAGTGCCCAAAGTATTTATAATCACATTCCATTACTCTAGAAGGGTGC